GTGAGTGGGTGAGGCCAGGGCACAGATAGGAATTTTCTGTCCTTGGATGTCATCCTAGGCACATCCTTCCTAGTCCTGGTCTCCAACTGCTGCTCCCTTCATCCACATGACCCTGAGACACTTGATCCCTACAGTGGCAAAGCTCTGACACTCAGGCTTGGACAGAACACAAACCCACATTGAAAATACTAGTGCTGAAAATAGATGGGACAATGGTGCCTAAGGCTTTCTGTTCACACTGAGAGTAAGTGTCCAGGAGAACAAAGGCAACATTTTACCAAAGAACAAATAAGAAGTGTAGGAGACGCCAACATCCGAGCAAGATGATCTGCAGCTGAGGTGTGGACCTCGGGCCATTCGTCCACAGGAGTTCCTTGTGGAAAAAGAGCCCGTGCCCTCAGCCCTTAGTCATTGTTAATTACTCCCCTCACCCGTATCATTCCCTTTCAATAAAAGGCTGGTGCGGAGGTTGCTCAGGGCCACCCAGAAAGTAAGGGCTAGCCCGCCTTCCACAAGCTTATACTTCTAATCCGCTTCTCGCCTGGTTCCTTCCTGAGCTAACAGAGACTAGGGCCACAGGAGCCCGACAGGTCGCGACAAAGAAGGAACAAGGGCCATGTTCTAATAAAGTATCTCATTGTCTTCAGTTAAACAAGAGGACCATGTCAAGGACATCATTTCAAGTCAAAGTCAGGGGCTCACAAACTAGCCAGCACAAACCTTTGATCAGTACAGGCCCTCAGCAGCTTCAGAAAATCCTTTTATGTAGTCCAAGACCCAGGCTCACATCTTCTGACCCTAACATTAAAAAAAAATTGGGCTTTACTATAGTTGCTAGTATTCCACATTCAAGGGTCAAGTACTAAGGGTTCAAAAGTTTTGAAGGCTTTTCTCCCAAGGCTTGGGTGTGCTGGAGTCACCTTTGCTGACTCAGAAGAGCCAAATCGGTATATTCTTTCCAACTGCCTATTCAGTGAAGCCAAGATGACACCTTGAAATCAGACACAGTAGAATATGCCTCAGTAGGTGTGTTTACACCATAAGAATTGGTAAATGCAGTAGGCCTCTCCCCGTTTTCATAGACACCCCATTTATCAACATACCCCTAGAGTGCTTAGAGACAATGACACCCCTGGTGCCTCCTGGGGCAGGTGGACTTGGCTCAGAACCCACCGGCCCTTTGCATTTGCTCCTTTACGCCATGATCTAAGGGGCCTCACCTGATTCTTGCCCGGTCTGGTACCCAGGTTCTCTTGGTGGGTAGGTCTGTTTTTCCTATAAACATTCTAGTCCTAAAGAGTGACAACTATTTTAAACTTAACAAAAGGTAGCACTAGACAGTTTTTTTTTAAATCATAGCTGTGTACATTAATGCAATTATAGAGTACAATGTGCTGGTTTTATATACTATTTGAAATATTTTCATCAAACTGGTTAACATAGCCTTCACTGCATTCTCTTCGTTATTGTGTTAAGACATTTATATTCTACACTTAGTAAATTTAACATGTACCCTTGTAAAATGCACCATAGGTGTGTTCCCATCAATTACCCCCCCTCCCCCCCCCGCTACCCATCCTCCCCTCTTCCCTCCCCTCCTTCTCCTCTTTCCCCTTTTCCTTGGGCCATAGTTGGGTTATAGCTTTCATATGAAAGCTATAAATTGGTTTCATAGTAGGACTAAGAACATTGGATACTTTTTCTTCCATTTTTGAGATACTTTGCTAAGAATATGTTCCAGCTCCATCCATGTGCACCAGACAGTTTTTGATTTACAAAGTACCTTTTCTTGCACAGAATGTTCACTCATAACAGAAATGGGGGCAGCAGCAGCTTTGGCTGTCAGCCAAGTATAGCCACACTATCCTTCTATGGTACTTCTATGAGTTTGGGGCAAGGACTCATTTGCCTTGGAAACTAGGCAGCCCCAGACCAGTCAGGAATGACCCTGGATCTATTTCTGGCTGAGGTGTCAGAAAAATCACCAGCAATTTGAACATCCTCCTCTCCAAGATGCAACAGCAGCCTGTTTCATCTCAGTCCCCAGTAGTTGTCCCGGAGAACCACCAGCTTGGGGGCAGAAACACCAGGAATGCTCATGCCAGCTCCCCCTGTGCTGCAGAAGGACTTTCCTGCCCAGGTGTAGGGCATAGGCCAGGCTCTGTCTGTCTCTCAGGAAGAGAATGGCCACAGAATGGTGTCTGTGGAAGAGAGACTGGGATTCTGAGGCTCCACTCAAATATTTCAAAGCGTTTTCTTTCTTTTATCTTTCATGCTACATTCTCACCAATTAAATAAGTGAGGAACCCCTCTGTGATTGCATTGCTCATGGCGCTTGGAAAAGTTTTCCTGGTTAAATATCATTGAAAAATCATGGCAATTGTTCATTTCTTCAGTTCAGACTTAACCTAAGGCAGTGAAAGAAGCAGCAACAATTTATAAGGCACTCACTTTACAAGTTCTATGAGGAAAGCATTGGTTAAATTTCATAGCCCTCACCTAACTTGAGGTCTAGTTGAAATGAAAGGCAGTGAGTTGAAGGACATGTGACCAAGCCCCGAGAGGCCCAGGCCAGTCACTATGGGAGTTCACAGGAGGGAAACATGACTTCTCTTGAGATGGTAAACATCAAGAGTGAGTATCATTCTGGTGCTGTGAGGGCTGCAGGGGCAAATCGTTGGAAACATAAATAGTTCATCTCTACTCTTAAGGATGGTGAAATACAACCCTTTCCACAGTGCCCAGGCAGATTCTATCTGCTGGCTGTGCTGGGTTGCACCATGAGTCCTTATCTCCCTCTGCCTCTTCCAGAATCAAGTCCTCCCTCCCTGCATCCAGGATTGGCAGGTGTGTGTTGTACACATTATCAGCTGGCTGGAGATCACTCTCCACTGACTATGATTCTGCCACCCCAAATTTCCCATTAGATGCTGCTCCCTCCATGAGTGCTCATTACCTCCTAAGGCATCCTGTTTTGTATATTCCAGTTTTGCTTTTTATTTATGCATATTTGATCCCATAATGAAGGTAATTTCATCATCTGCCCATTCCATTGCTGATATAAATTTTCAGGGTAATATTGATTGAATATAGAAGGGCATTTTGGTTATTATTAGTAATAGAGGTAAAATAATCTATTTATACTTCATCCACTGTGTTTTTTTCATACTTTACACCAAATGTTATTTTTTTCCATTTCTCCTATCCTATCCCTGTTCTTTTAGAAGATAGCGTTAAGAGGGAGGAGGGAATGTCAGTTTGACTATACCTGCCAGGTGTGTCATAGGAATTAGAATGAGGATGGGGTTGTAAACATGGTAACTCAAGGATATAATCAGGATTTCTAGAAGGTTGTCTCAGCTGACAAAGCAGACACTTCCCAGCATTCCTCTGGCCACTGCGAAGGAAACAATGTTGAAACTTCACTTATTGCCCACAAGATGGCACTGTGGTCCTCTGGGGGTTGGGTAGGGGCTTTGAAGAGCGTCGGGGACAGCAGCCTAAGAGGGAATGGAAAGAGACAGTGTTCACCAAGTCTCCTTACCAAAAATTCACTGAGCATCTTGTCCGGACCCACACCAGAGTCTGTGCAGAGGCTCCAGCTGTGGCTACAACATAGGGTTTTTATACAAGAATAATCAAATGAATTAAGTCTGTTAAAAAAAATTTAAGAAAAGAATAATGTTTGAGTTTGGATGTAAAATTATACACATGTTGAAGAAGCAATGACTTTATTAAGAGATGATGCCACTCTGGGAGAAATGTTCTGTTTGCCTTCACCTTAAGTCTCCAACTCACAAAACAGAAGCCTGGAGCTAGAAAATCCCCCTTTCTGCTCTGGCCCTGCCCTGGGACCAGGGTACTGCGTGTACTCTGTGCTGTACAGGGTGCTGTGTGTCCCTCTCTCACAGACCAGAGAAGTCTGGGCACAGACGTGCACCCCCCTTCATGGGATTGCAAGTCAGCAGCTTGTAGGTTACTGCACCAGGTATACCACCAGCTTCACACCCGACTGGGAGGTCCTTTTCCAAACATAGTTAAGAATTTGAATAACAGGACAGCAAAGTTTTAAAACAAAACTAGAGTCCTTCTAAATGTGGGGCTCTCTGCAATAATATAGCATTTTTAAGCTCCTTTCGTGTATTTACGGTCAGGCAATCTACACAAGGGGATAAGCTCCTGAAATTCAATGCCATAACTAAAACCGGGACAATTTCCCTTACCCTGGAGTCTGCCACATCTTCCTAAGTCCTTTGCATATCAGGACAACTTTGGGCCAATAGCTCATCTGCAGTTCTGGGTCACCACTGTCTTCCCCAGAAAGTGGATGGTCCATGCCTGAGGTGGTTCTAACTGCTGTGACCTCACTGCGCAGTCATGGAAAGCAGGTGCTCAGGGTATATTAGAAGGTGTTCCAGCTGCCTTTGTCAGGGACCCTATCAGTCAGTGAGTTGACAAGAAACAGCAAATGACTCCCTAAATTATTATCAACTTCCTAAGAGGATTTATACACTGGATATCAGAGGAAATCATTGTGGGTGAAGGGCTTTAATGTAATTGAGGCAAATTAAACAAGAAAAGGATACTCAAAGGGGTATTAGGGACACAGAATCTAAATGGTACCAGGAAGTTATGAGTATTTTCTGTAAGATTCTGGACAGCAGCAGGTTTAGATAATTAAGCCAGTGTAGTGATGAGAAATTACATCACTGCAGAAATGAAATATACATGGAATTACAAACTCATTACAAAAAGGTCAAGAAGAACATATTGAGTCCTGTGTACACTCAGATACATTGATTCTCCTCATTTTAAGCTGTTCACGTCTACATTTATTTTGGATTTGATTCTGTGGGGAAGAGGGCGTGGTCCCTCCTGACAGAAAGGCTCTGGGGCCCAGGCAGGGAGGATGAGTCTCAGAATGACTCCCTGGAAACCTCCACTCCCCTTTCTTCACTGCACAGAACCAGAAGTCCCTGCTGTCCTGCCCAGCACCTGTCATGAGCATCGGCCTCCTGTGCTGTGCGGCCTTTTGCCTCCTGTGGGCAGGTGAGTCCTGGGAGGGGATCTTGCCTGGATTTCCTGGTCCGGCCCCAAGCCTTTCACAGGGGCTGCAATGTCATGTTTGTTCTTCTCTGCAGGGTTGGTGAATGCTGGTGTCACCCAGTCCCCCAAATCCCAGATCCTGGTGACAGGACAGAACGTGACACTGAAATGTGCCCAGAATATGAACCATAACAGAATGTACTGGTATCGACAAGATCCTGGGCTGGGACTGAGGCTGATCTATTACTCTGTTGGTATTAAGGTCATTGACAAAGGAGAAGTCTCTGATGGCTACAGTGTGTCTAGATCAGAGGTAGGGTCCTTCCCCCTCACTCTGGACTCTGCCACCCCCTCCCAGACATCTGTGTACTTCTGTGCCAGCAGTGATGCACAGCGCTGCACAGCTGCCTCTTCTCTGCACAGAAAGTCAGGGCAGGCTCTGCTCCCCAGAGCTCAGTGATGCCCTTGGCAGAGTTCTCAGAACCCGAGAACTCTGAGGGCCTGTGCAGTGTGGACCTCAGGGTGTGCCAGGTGCACCTGCAGGGGTCTCCGCCAGGCCTGCACTGATCCCAGACCTCAGGCAGTGACTTGTCTCTTGCTGTTCTCTCACCTTTCCTTTGAGGTGTCCCACTGTGGTGAGGACCAGGCTCCTCTGACTTTGAGTTTTCTTGACCTTAGCCTGAGTCTGAGGCCTACAGAACTGAACTTGATTTGTGTTTCAGGTCACGTAGACTCCTGTCTACGCCTGGCTGCCACATGCTCTCCCTCTATGATTCTGCCCCCCCCCCCCAGCCCTCATGTGGTCCCTGTTCCATCTGCCTTTCCCATGTGGGCAGTTGCTGCAGGAAGCCCTGATGTGTCCCTACTCCCCCTACCTCTGCCGCCCGCTGTCCAGCTGGGCCGCACAGACCCTCATCTGTACCTCCTTCTTTCCCATCAGTGAGACTCAAAGCCTATTTCCTCTGTCCTGGGCATGGAGCTTCCTTTCTGTACAGAAGTGTTTTTCAACCCTTTTTATGTCAGGGCACACTTGAACCTATAGTTAAACTTCAGCGGCACACTTAAACTCTGTTTATCAGGAAAATAGTAATAATAATATATTTACTGTGCTTTCAACATCTTTTGAAAATAATTTAATTTATGATCATTACATATTTTTGCAGCCCACCTAAGATCCTCTCAGGGCAGAACATTGTGCCATGGCACACTGGTTAAAAATCATGGCTGTAAAGGCTGATTCCCACCAGTGCTTCAGATCTCAGCAGTCCCCCCCCACCCCCAGCCTGCCCCGCCAGGTTGCATTACTACACCTACCTGCTATGGTCGATTTCCCACGAATAAGCTTTAGAAATGTTAGAATTTTACAGAAACTATTTTGTTCATTTTTCTATCTGACTAGATGTTAAAGCTCATGAACTCCAAGGCTCCACCTGCTGTGTTTATCAAGAGCAGTGCCTGGCACACTGGGAAGACTCTTCTCCTGGGGAGTGAGGAGTGAGTGGTGAGGAAATGAATGAGCCAGTAACAGGACCAGCCCTGATCCCACTTTGCACTGATAGACACCTGGCATTAATGACAAGTAATACTACCCCTTTGATCGCTGGGCCCAGTGGTCCTGAGTATGTCTGCTGGGTGCCCAGGCCTGGATCACGGCTTCTTCTTGTGGTTGCAGCCCCTCGTTTTCTCCAGGGTGTGTTTTATCCTCACGCCCAAGCTCCACTGTAAATCTGAACAGATGGCAGAACCATTACAGAAATTTATCCATCGAGTTTTATTTCCTTGACACCAGTGCCGGTGCCAAAAAGTCTATTTCGGTTCCATTAATAAAATTGATGAGAAAATTATGGAAGTGAATCTTCCATAAAAGTTTATGGGAAGCAGGGATTTATAGTAGGAATGAGACCTTCTGCAAATGTTGGAGGAGCTGAGGGAGAAAAGGCCTGGAAGGGAGACTTCAGAAAGTCAAAGACACAGTCATTAGTCAGGGCTTTTGGGGCTCTGAGAAGGAGGACAGGCTGGATCCTCCAGGGAGGAGGATCATGGCTTGTCAGACCAGCCAGTTGGACCTTAGACATGGAGCACAGGAGATGACCATGGAATTCTATTTGTGGTGATGCTGTTGCCTGTGTGTGGGGGCCATGTCTGTGGCTTCACAGCCAAGTAGTCCAGGCAGCTGGCTTTCATTGGTTAATATTTGGGAAGATCAACTAGACACAGAGAACACATTGGGAGGACTCTCTTGGCCTTTGGACACATCTCTGTCTGTCCTGAACTGTGCCTCCCTATCTGACCACAGTCACCTGCCACGTATAATGGTCATTGTTTTATTTCTGTCTTCAATACCCCTTGGGCAACTCTACACAAGGACCACACAGGAATGTTCATTCTGAGAAGGGTCATGTTGCCACTATATTGAGATGACACTATCCAGCAAAAGATGGAGGATTCTCTGCGATTGAGGCATCTGGTCACACACCTCGGCCCAGCCTTGACTTGGTCTCCAGGTTCCTCTTCTTGGAATACGTGTCTCTCTCTCGTGTGAGGGTCAACTCAACTCTGATATCTGTGTTGTGGATTTTTAAAGCTGTGACTATGACCTTTTGTCTCAGGACTTAGGCTGCTTTCTCCCTGCTCTGTAGAAGCAGAGCTCTGTGTGCTTCTAGCTCCTTCTTGATGAACTTCTGTCATGATGGATTTGCAAGGACATCAGGAACCTGGGTCAGAGTGAGAGGACCAGGGAAGGGCATGGGAGGTCTTCTCTTCTCCGTCTTCTACCCTCCTGGGCCCCGCTGTGTTATGCCCACAGCAATTACTCTGGTCCCCTTGGGGCTCTAAGGATTGATAAATGTGCTTTCATATTTATTGTGGATCAAAGCTGTGCTGTAGTGACAACCCCAAGTCAAATCCTCACAGCTGGGGGCCTCGCCCTGCCTTTCTGTGACGATGCTGAGAATACAGTGCCGGAGAGGTGGCTTCTCCTGTGTGTAGATTCGTCCCCAAAAGAGAGGGCGAAAGAGACAAACGTGTCTGATGGTGTCAAGGCAATTACTCAGGACAACTGTTTTCATTCCTTACAGTTTGTCTTTAGTAACGCACATCTGACAATTCTTCCTCTTGAATTTGATGAGTACCAAGGAGATCACATATCCCAGCATCTTCTAACAACAGAGAACGTAATTTTGCTTCCAGCCTCTCTCCTGCACCATTCTGACCAACGTCTGCAAACTCCATCTTTCCTGCAAAAAATCTTTCTTCTCCTGGCTGGCTCTAGTCAGGTCGGTTTAACTCCTGATTAATTTGATTTGTTAATCTACTTAAAGGAAAACGTAGGACTTGAAGTTTACTGTGTAAACTTTATACTTTTATTCCACAATTGTCTTAAGGTGGTCAATAGTAGAAGAAATCTTTCATTTTGGACCCAGGCATTGCTTTCCTTTAATAGCAGGTTGTATATCGTTACCTCAGGCCTCTCAGTAAGTGCTAATGTAAACCCGTGCTCCTGAGGTAATGGGACTGAGAGAGGAAGTGACATCTCTGTGAGAACTGCCACGTGGAGACAAGGGCGTCCCCTCTCCTCTGCCCTGCTCACAGTGACCCTGACCCGTGACCCTCCCGTCCTCCCCTGACTCTGCCATGGGCTCCAGGCTCCTCTGCTGGGTGGCCCTCTGTGTCCTGGGGGGAGGTGAGTCCTAAGAACACCGAGCAATTTCATTGTCTATCTGTGGGTGCATTGTGTGTGTGTGTGTGTGTGATGACAACATCTTTCCTCATTCTGCTCCCAACCTCTGTCTGCACAGACATCACAAGTGCTGGAATCTCCCAGTTCCCCAGACACAAGGTCGTAAAGAGGGGACAGGAAGTAACTCTCAGGTGTGATACAGTTTCGGGTCATTTCACACTTTCCTGGTACCGACAGACTCTGAGGCAGGAGCCAGAGTTTCTCATTTACTTCCGAGGCAAAGAGGCAACAGACAGATCAGGGCTGCCAAGTGATCGGTTCTCTGCAGAGAGGCCTGAGGGATCATTCTCCACTCTGAACATCAAATCTGCAGAGGAAGGGGACTCAGCCCTGTATCTCTGTGCCAGCAGTGAAGCCACAGTGTAGCACAGTCACCTCCTTCCTGCTCACAAACCCCATCCTTCCCTCTCCTGGCAGCTTCCAGAGACCTTAAGCAGAGGCCTCTCTTTGCTCTTCAGTGTCCAAGGAAAAGGAGATTTGGACCTCAGCTGTCCTTTGGGTAGGAGGGGGCCACAGAGTCATTCCTGAAACACCCTGGCTATGAAGGTGGGCGGTGGCACATTGGGGTCTAGAAATCCTCAGAGCCAGATCTGCACTCCAAGGCAGAAAGCTTCCCAAGCGACATAGATAAAAGAGTCTTTAGAAGAAAGTATGTTCCTGTCTTAGCCTGAGCCTTCAGGGCCGGGAGAGGCAGTCATCTGTGGGACTCAGAGGTCGCATCTCATAGACACAATCAGTTGTGGGCAGTGAGGTCTAAGGACGCTTCCTCAGGAATAGTCTTTCTTCTGAACCTCTTTGTATTCCTGTTATACTGTACGTTTTCTGGAACGTAATATCCAACCCGTTTTCCTGTTTTGGGACTCCGTCTGCTCTTGCTCCTAGACACCATAATCTAAAGGAGCCTCCCCTGATCCTCGCCTATTTGGTCCCCTGGTTCCCTGGCTGTGTGTGTCTGCATCTCCAATGTGTATGCCAGTCCAGAAAAGCGACAATTTTGAACTTAACTAAAGGTTCCATAAAACTCAGTCTTTATTAGCGAGTTATGTTTCTTTGCATCCAATCAGCAGATGCTGGAGTCACTAGTTAAAGAATTGAAAGAAACAGCATCTCTGGCTATCAGCCACGGTGCAGCCATACAGTTTTCCTGGGGTGGCCACTGTCTCTGGAGCAAAGACTGATTTACTTTGAGAATTAGCAGCCCCAGACCACTTTGTAGTCACCCTGTATCTATTTTGTAACTGATGTGTCAAAAGGCTCTCCCTCATCTCTAATACCCCTCCAAGATGCAATACTGCCCTTTCTATCTCAGACCTTGGAGGTTGTCCTGACAACACAGAGCACCACCTGCACTGGGGACTCAAGCTCCCTGCAGGCTGCAGCTGGCCATTGCTCCCAAGGCCCAGGGTACAGATGTGGCACTTTCTGTTCCTCAGGGAGAGAGAGATCATAGAATGATGTTTGTGTAAGGGGTAGTGGGTTTCTGAGGTTCCTCTCACATATTTGATAAAGTCTTCTTTTCTTTCTATTTTCATTTTAGAATCTCACCAAATTAGGAGAACAAGTTTTTTATGGTTGCATTATGTATTGCACTTGGAAAGGTTATCTTGGTTAAATTCCATTAAGATATCACTTTAATTATGTATCTCTTCTGTTTAGAAATTAATGGAGGCAGTGAAATAAATAGCAATAATTTTTAAAGCCGTCACATTACATGCTTACAG